CAGGTGATAGGACTGGTAAGCCCTGTGGGACGCTTGGTCACACACAGTCCCGCTGCTTCGCCCGTCTGAGCGACGCCTGGCGTACCGTGTTTGGAGACGAGGCTGAGCTCCCTACCTGGCCGGAGCTGCTTGGACAGAGGGTAGATATCTTTGCACTTGACTATGATGCTATTCTCACTGCCATGTATGCATTGCCTACTAGTGTTGACCGTGCCTGTTACCTGTGCGTCCCGCCTGACCCTGGTATAGCGCCTGATGCTCTCGGTACTGGTGAGGCTGCTGCTCTAGGTGCTCGTGCGTCTCCTGCTCTAGGTGCTGGTGAGGCTACTGCTCTAGGTGCTGGTGAGTTTGCTCTCTCTGGTACTGCGCCTGCTGCGGTCTTGCACACCTTCACCCTTGACTCAGGAGCTTCCCGCTCTTTCTTTCGCGACTGCACCACACTCACGCCGCTCAGTCGGCCAGTTCCGGTCTCCCTGGCGGACCCCTCTGGGGGTCCAGTCCTTGCCCACTACTCCACGGTTCTGCCGTGTCCGGCCGTCCCGTCTGGCTTCCTGTCAGGTCTTTACCTCCCCTCGTTCTCTACGAACTTGGTGAGTGGAGCTGACCTCCAGGATCACGGGGTTGACCAGTTCACTCCTGCGAGTCAGCGAGTGACTCACTGTACGTGTGCTCGGACGGGCCGACACTTGGCCACGTTCACCCGTGCACCTGGCTCGAGTCTGTACACACTGACCACTGAGTCCCCTCAGGTAGCTGCGTCTGCGTCTACGTCTGGTCAGCTGGCAGCCCCCTGCGAGTGTCGCGCTTTGTCGCACGACACTCTCCTGTGGCACCACCGCCTTGGTCACCCCTCCCTGCCTCGCCTTCGTGGCATGCACTCTCGCTCCCTGGTTTCTGGTCTTCCCAGGTCTCTGCCTGCCCTCCCTCCCTCGCCTGCGCCGCCCTGCATTCCTTGCGTCGAGGGGCGGCAGCGCGCCGCTCCTCACTCCTCCTCGTTCCCTCCCACAGAGGCTCCCCTGCAGACTCTCCACCTGGACGTGTGGGGCCCAGCCCGCGTCCGTGGACAGGGCCACGAGCGGTACTTCCTGCTGGTCGTCGACGACTACACGCGCTACACCACGGTCTTCCCCTTGCAGAGCAAGGGGCTGTTTTGATCCCTTGGATCCGCGCTGTTCGTCTCCAGCTCCGCGACCGGTTCCAGCGGGACTTTCCTGTCCTGCGTCTGCACTCCGACAGAGGTGGTGAGTTCACCTCAGACCTCTTGGCAGCCTACTGTGCGGAGCACGGCATCCGCCACCCGTTCACGCTTCCGGCCTCTCCGCAGCAGAATGGGGTTGCTGAGCGCCGCATTGGCTTAGTCATGGAGGTCGCTCGTACCTCCATGATCCATGCGGCTGCCCCCCATTTTCTGTGGCCGTTTGCGGTCAGGTACGCCGCGCATCAGCTCAACCTTTGGCCCCGTGTCTCCTTGCCAGAGACCTCGCCCACACTGCTGTGGACGGGGAAGGTTGGCAATGCGTCGCGTTTCCGGGTCTGGGGTGCTCGTGCCTTTGTCCGCGATACCACTGCGGACAAGCTCTCCGCCCGCGCTGTTCCCTGTGTCTTCCTTGGCTTTGTCCCTGACGCGCCTGGCTGGCAGTTTTACCACCCCACCTCGCGCCGTGTCTTTGCGTCTCAGGACGTCACGTTCGACGAGTCGGTTCCCTTTTACCGTCTCTTCCCCTACCGCGCTGCCCCGCTCCCCCCCCCGCCGCTCTTCCTCGCTCCAGGTGCTCCCCAGGTAGACCCCCTCCCCACTCCTGGTCCTGCTCCTTCAGGTGTGTCTCAGGTAGACCCTCCTCCCTTGTCTGCGCCGGTTGAGGTCACTGGTGACTCAGGTCCTGCTGAGGGTGGTCCTGCTCGGGGTGCTACTTCTGGGGGTGCTGAGCCTGGGGGTGCGGAGCCTGGGGGTGCGGAGCCTGGGGGTGTTGAGCCTGGGGGTGCTGAGCCTGGGGGTGCGGAGCTTGAGGGTGTGGAGCCTGGAGGTGCTGAGCCTGAGTGTGAGGGGTCTGGGGGTGCTGAGCTTGGCAGTACTGAGTCTGGGGGTGCTGCGCCTGGGGGTGCTGAGGCGTCTGGTGAGCAGTCTCCCTGGAGTGGCCGTCTCCGTAGTCGCTCCGCTGGTGCCTCGCCGCTGCCCTCTCGTCGTCGACTCCCCCTCTCCTCCCTGCAGCTGGTTGAGTGGTACCTTGGCCGTCAGGGCCGCGCTGCTGGAGCTGGTGACTCTGCTCCTGGAGCTGTTTTTCCTGGAGGCTCTGCTGCTGCTGAGGGTGCGGGCGCTGGAGGTTCTGGAGCTGCTGGAGGTCCTGGTGCTGGTGGCGCTGGAGCTGGAGGTTCTGGAGCTGCTGAGGGTGCTGGCACTGGAGGTTCTGGAGCTGCTGGAGGTGCTGGCACTGAGGGTGCTGGCACTGGAAGTTCTGGAGCTGTTCGAGGTGCTGACGCTGAGGGTTCTGAGTCTACTGTTGCGCGGTCTCCTTGGAGTGGCCGCCTTCGTCCACGTGTGCCTCTCACCTCACAGCAGCTGCACGACTGGTACGGTCGCCGTCTGCGTCGCGCTTCTGGAGCTGGGGGCTCTGCTGCTGGAGGTACTTCTGCTGACGTCACTGGAGCTGGGAGTGGTGCTGGTCTCGGAGGTGCTCGTACTGGGGGTACTGGAGCTACTGGGTCAGGAGGTGCTGAGCCTGCGGGTGCTGCTGCTGGGGACACTGCGGCTGGAGACCCTGGGACTGGGGGTGCCGGTTCTGGGGGTGCTGCTGCTGGTGGAGCTGGCCCTGGAGGAGCTGGCGCTGAGGGTTCTGGTGCTGCTGGAGGTGCTGGAGCTACTGGAGGTGCTGGAGCTGCTGGTGCTGGTAGCACTGCACCGACTCGACTTTTCTTCGCTCCGCCGTCTCCGTCGTCTCTGCCACCGCCTGACTCTGCTCTTTGTCAGGTTGTTACTCTCCCGTCGTCTACTGGTCTTCCGTTACAGCCTGGCTCACCGCTGCCTGCTCCCTCTCCTTACACTGAGCAGACAGGTAGTCTTGCTGAGCGTCGTGAGCCTACGTCGCGTCCTGTCTCGCCTGTTCGTCCTTGTCGTACCGTTCGTCGTGTTCCTCGTCAGCGTCAGCCGGCTGTCCCCGGCACACGCCTTGTAGCCCTGCGTCGGTCCTCTCCTCCGGAGCGTACTCCTCTTCCGTCTCCCCCTGCGTCCTCTTTGCCTGACGTCGCGGATCCTGAGTCTGACCGGTTTCGTGCTGAGCACCCTACTGTCACGCGTCTACTAGCCACTGTTGTCACTGACCCGTCGTTTGAGTCTGCTGCTGCGTCTGCCCTAGTCGCTGAGCTTGTTGACTTTGCTGCTGCCTGTCGTCTATGTCAGAATAACTGAGGCAGGAATGAATGAACTAACAGAAAGTTTGGTACAAGTATGAAACCCTAAGTTTGTGTACCCTCTAAGGTGTAACCCACTACAGCCTACACAATATAAACATACAATGTTTGACACACCCCCATAGGCGCAGTGGGAGACAACCACAGGGTCATGAGACCAGTCAAAGCAAAGCAAAGCAAGCTCAGGGTGGATCTCAAGGATACCACACAAATTCTGAGCACAAGCAAGTGGTCACAAGACCAGTTCACATGCAGTTTGATAATATAGCAAGAGATACAGTGATCACAACCTAGCAAGTGTAAACATGCAGGTATATATATATATATATATATATAGATCACAGTACAAACAGAGTCAAGAAGTAAGCAAGTGAGGTCCAGCAGGCACAAGGCCTAGAAGAGTACAGAAGCGCTGATGGTCACAAGGCTGAAGCGCCTTGGTGAACACATCAGCAGTGTTGGCCTCAGTGGCCACATAACGCAGACGAAGCTGACCGCGCTGCTGCAACTCTCGAGCAAGGAAGTACCGCAGGGCGATGTGCTTCGTTCTGTGCTCCAGTCTGTGCTCCTCACACAAGGCAATGGCAGCCTTGTTGTCGACGTACAGCACTGGAGGAGAACGAGGCCGCTCTCCCAAGTCGGTCAGCAGGTAGGTCAGCCAGCGTAGCTCCTGGGCCGCCATGGCTGTGGCGTAGATCTCAGCCTCGCAACTGGAACTGAGAACAGAAGAAGAGCGTGTAGAACGCCAAGAAACTGAGCCAGAGCCAAGACTGAAGGTGTAACCCTGAGACGACCGCTGAGTAGCCTGGTCGTCCGCCCAAGAAGCGTCTGAGTGTCCAGTAAGTACAACTCGGTCTCGCCCTCCAAGCACTAGCCCCATGCCTGACGTACTGCACAAGTAGCGCAACACCCTCTTAGCGGCATCCATGTGCTCCTTCCTGTGACGGCCAGGAGCGACATAGCGCGCAAGGATGCTAAGAGGGTATGCAAGGTCAGGTCGAGTGCAGGTCATCAGGTACATGAGGCAGCCCACAAGCTCTGGATACGGGCCACTCGGCTCTACGGACTCATCTGAAGGCAGAGCTGAGAGCGAGTGACCGGTAGGCAGAGGAGTGGACTGAGGCGAGGAGTACGTGAAGCGGAAGCGCTGAAGGACCTGCTGCACCATGTGTGACTGAGTCAAGGTGATGGTGCGCCGTGCTTTGTCCCGGGTGATCCGCAAGCCAAGATAGCTTGTCAGTTCACCCAGGTCTGTGCACGTGTGTCTCTTATGCAGCTCCGAATTCACGTGGGCGAGTGCCGCAGTGTCAGCAGTGGCAAAGACCAAGTCGTCGACGTACACGAGGATGTAGAACGGCGGCAGCGAGGTGTCGGTGCATAGAAACAGCGACGGGTCAGCAGTAGAAGGAGTGAACCCAAGAGCCGCAAGTGTAGTCCTCAGTGTGTCGTGCCACTCACGCGGCGCCTGGCGGAGACCGTAGACTGGCCGCCGGAGGCTCCACTGGGTACCAGGAGGAAACGACCCAGTGAAGCCAGGAGGGCGGCGCAGCCAGATCTCCTCGTGCAGGCTGCCCTGCAAGAAAGCAGTGCTGAAGTCAAGTGAGTGAAGCTCGTAGTCGCGCTGAGCGGCTATGTGCAGCAGCACCCGAAGAGTAGTCATCTTCGAACTCCTCCTGTCTGTCCTCAAGGACGTCCGTGCCAAGAGCACACTCACCCCCGACGGACAGAGGACAGACAGACTCAGACTCAGCAACAAGGCTAGCGGCGTAGTCTAGACGACACCGAGCAGCAAAGTCAACCAACTCAGCGACCAGAGCAGACGCAGCAGAGGACTCAAAGGTAGGGTCAGTGACAACAGTAGCTAGGAGACGCGTGACAGTGGGACTGGCAGCACGACGGAAGTCAGACTCCGGGTCAGGAAGAGTAGGTAGAGAGGACGCAGGAGGAGACGGCAGAGGGACACGCTGAGGAGCAGTGGAGGGACGCAGAGTCATGTAGTGAGTGCCAGGGACAGGGGGAGGACGCTCACGTGGGACACGACGACCAGTGCGAGCAGTACGAACAGGCGACGCAGGACGAGACTCAGGCTCACGACGCTCCGTAAGACCCCATGTGGGACTAGTGTAAGGAGAGGGACCAGGGAGAGGCGAGGCAGGCGGTAACTGTGACTGCAACTGGACAGGCGGAGGACACTCTAAGGAGGAAGGAGGACAAGGAGGAGGAGTCTGACCAAGAACCTGCTGAAGGAGCGGTACGAAGTACAGTCGCGGCCGCGCAGCGTCTCCAGAACCAGTAGAGACACCAGCGTCAGGGTCCTCAGTACCAGCAGCAGCTCCACCGCCCGGGTCCTCAGCACCAGCAGCAGCTCCAACGCCCGGTTCCTCAGCACCAGCAGCAGCTCCAACGCCCGGGTCCTCAGCACCAACAGCAGCTCCAACGCCCGGGTCCTCAGCACCAGTAGCAGCTCCACCGCCCGGGTCCTCAGTACCAGCAGCAGCTCCAACGCCCGGGTCCTCAGCACCAGTAGCAGCTCCAACGCCCGGGTCCTCAGCACCAGTAGCAGCTCCACCGCCCGGGTCCTCAGCACCAGCAGCAGCTCCAACGCCCGGGTCCTCAGCACCAGCAGCAGCTCCACCGCCCGGGTCCTCAGCACCAGCAGTAGCTCCAACGCCAGGGTCCGCAACACCAGGAGCGCCACTCCGAAGACTGCAGCGCCGCGTGTACCACTCTCGGATCCGCTGAAGGGAGGGGAGCTCCCGGGTAGGAGGGGAAGTACTGGTACCAGCTCCAGCAGCACCTCTCCGGAGGCTGCAGTACTGTAGGTACCTCTACTGTAGGTACCTATGCTGTGAGGAGAGGGCTCCTCCAGGTGTAGCACTCCCAGGCTCGGTACTGCTAGACTCAGCACCCCCAGACTCAGCACCCCCAGGCTCAGCACCCCCAGGCTCCGCACCCCCAGGCTCAGCACCCCCAGGCTCAGCACCCCCAGGCTCAGCACCCCCAGGCTTAGCACCCCCAGGCTCCGCACCCTCAGGCTCAGCACCGCCAGGCTCCTCACGCTCAGGCTCAGCACCCCTAGCAGGACGAGAGTCGACAGCTACCTCGACAGGCTCAACCGGGTCTACCTGGGACACACCTGAGGGAGCGGCACCCTGAGGGGGGAGGGGGTCTACCACAGCAGCACCTGGCGCGAGGAAGAGAGGCGGGGGGGGGAGCGGGGCAGTGCGGTAGGGGAAGAGGCGGTAGTAGGGGACGGACTCGTCAAAAGTGACGTCCTGAGAAGGCAGAACCCGGCGCGAGGTGACGTGGTAAAACTGCCAACCAGGCGCGTCCGGGACAAAGCCAAGGAAGACACAAGGAACAGCGCGGGAGGAGAGCTTGTCCGCGGACGTATCGCGAACAAAAGCTCGAGAACAAAAGCTCGAGATCCCCAAACCCGGAAACGTGACGCATCGCCAACCTCTCCCGTCCACCGCAGTGTCGGGGAAGTCTCCGGCAAGGAGACACGGGGCCAGAGGTTGAGCTGATGCGCAGCGTATCGGACCGCAAACGGCCACAGAAAGTGGGGAGCAGCCGCATGGATCAGGGAGGTACGAGCGACCTCCATGACCAAGCCAATGCGGCGCTCAGCAACCCCATTCTGCTGTGGAGAGGCCGGAAGCGTGAACGACTGCTCAATGCCGTGCTCCGCACAGTAGGCTGCCAAGAGGTCGGAGGAGAACTCACCACCTCTGTCAGAGTGCAAACGCAGGACAGGAAAGTCCGAGCGGAAACGCTCGCTGAGCTGGAGACGAGCTCTGCTGATCCAAGGGATCAAGACATCAGGGACCTCACCCTTGGTGCGCAAGGGGAAGACCGTGGTGTAGCGAGAGTAGTCGTCAACAACAATCAGGAAGTACCTCTCCTGACCCTGTCCACGGACGCGGGCTGGGCCCCACACGTCTAGGTGGAGCGTCTGCAAGGGAGCAGTCGTCGGGGGAAAGGAGGAGGAGTGAGGAGCGGCGCGCTGCCGCCCCTCGACACAGGGAAGACAGGGAGGAGCAGGCGAGGGTGGGAGGGGAGGGAGAACCCTGGGAAGACCAGAGACAAGGCACCGTTTGTGCATGGCCCGAAGGCGCTGCACAGACGGGTGACCAAGTCGGTGGTGCCAGAGGACGGTCTCGTGCGCCAGAGAGCGACACGAGCAGGGGGCCGACAGCTGACCTGACGCAGACGCAGACGCAGCTACCTGAGGGGACTCAGTGGTCAGTGTGTACAGGTCCGACCCCGGCTGCCGAGTGAAGGTAGCCAGGTGACGGCCCGTCCGAGCACACGTGCAGTGTGTCACGCGCTCGTAGGCAGGGGTGAACTGGTGAACACCCGCGTCCTGGAGCGCACAACCCGCCACCAAGTTCGTAGAGAACGAGGGGAGGTGAAGACCTGACAGTGTGCCCGACGGGACCGCAGGACAAGGAAGGACAGTGGAGGAGGTCGCAATGACCGGACCCCCAGAGGGGTCAGCGAGGGAGACAGCAACTGGCCGAGCGAGCGGCTCAAGGACAGTGCGGTCACGAAAGAAACAGCGAGAAGCACCTGAGTCCAGGGTGAAGGTGTGCAGGGCCTCAGTCGACTCAGTACCAGGGGGCACAGACTCACTAGCACCTAGAGCAGCAGCCTCACCATCACCTGAGGTAGCAGACACGCTAGTATCTGTAGTGGCAGTCTCACTAGCACCTAGAGCGGCAGCCTCACTGGTCCGAATGCCCGGGTCGGGCGGAACACGCAGGTACTGAGCACCCTCTCCACTAGTAAACATCACATACATGGCAGTGAGAATAGCATCAAAGTCTAGAGCCCAGATATCAACTCCCTTCTTCATCAGATCAGCCCAGCGGGGCAGCTCAGTGGCATCAGGGAACTGAGTGCGCCAAGCGTCGTCAAGGCGCGAGAAACAGCGCTGCGTGGGGTGCGGCCTCCCACACGTCTGACCAGTGCGGTCACCAGTGCGGATGACGTACGTGCAGCTAAAGCCACCCGCCCCCCCGCGCTGGGAGTACCACTCACGGGCCTCCTGGAGCGACGGAGTGTGCTGCTGGCTCAGACCACCGCCAGCGCCTCCACGACCACCACCGCCGCCGCCACCTCCTCGACCACCCCCTCCCCTGCCGCTGCCACGACCACCGCCGCCCCCGCTGCCGCCCCCGCCCCTGCCACCGCCCCCGCCGCTGCCGTCACCACCCCCACTGCCGCCACTAGCCTCTCCAGCCCCACCTCCACTCCCACCGCCTCCACCCCCGCCTCCCCCGCCGCCACCTCCACCCTTGCCCCCTCTGTTCCTGCGGCGCCCGCTCGGAGCGGACGTAGCCCCGACCTTCTCAGCACCAAGGAGGTCGACAGCAGAAGCAGAGGCTACAGAGGGAAGAAGGGGGGAAGGGGAACACCCCTCAAAGAAAGGGGTGCGGGGGTCGCCACGAGAGGCACCTACAGCGACGATGCTCGCCTCAGCTGCAAGTAGTTCCTTCTCGAGGAGGGCAATGGTGAGCTCAGTGGGGCAGCGAGCGAGGAAGTGATCCCTGACTGCGCGCAGAGAGTCAGGGAGGCGGGTGACGATGTGGTAGAGAGTGAGCCAGAGCGGGGGGGGGGTTCCTAGCAAGGAACTCATCGGGCATAGCAGCGCGGAAGCGGGCCTCACTAGTCTTGAGGTGGGTGATGAGGTCAGCAACTGTGTGAAAGGAGGCCAGGTCGGGGAACAGGTAGGGGAGTGAGAGGCGGCCTAGTGCGGCAGAAGCAGGTGAGGAGTAGCGAGCAACGACAGCAGTGTACAGTTCCTTAGCAGTCTTGTGCTGGCCAAAGTGCTCGCGCTCATCTATCGGCAGGGAGTTGCGAATAGCAAAGCGAGCGTGGGCGTCACGAGTCTGCCACTGCGAGCGGGCAGTGCTGTCAGCAGTAGTAGGAGGGGCAGTAGTATGGCCGAGGGCATGATCGTACAGTGAGATGTCCTCCTTGGCAGTGAGCTGTAGGAAGAGGTGCAGGTCATCGAGCCAGGTGTCAAATTTCACTGGGCGGCCCTCAGCATCGAAAGCGAGTACAGGAGGACTAGCCATAGTAGCAGCAGTAGGTGCACCCTAAACGTTGTAGGCAGCGCGACTTAGGTAGGGCGGCTCGTTTCTGGCGGGGGCCGTGGCTGTCGTGTGCGGGGCGTTAAGGGGCGGCAGGTAGGATCGACGGGGCCGCTAAGGGGCGGTGCGCGGGGTCGACGGGGCCGGCGGGGCCTCTATGCGGGGCGCGCGCGGGGACAGCGGGGCCGGCGGGGCCTCTAGGCGGGGCGCGCGCGGGGTCGACGGGGCCAGCGGGGCCTCTAAGGGGCGGGTCGCAAGCGGGGACGACGGGGCCGCGGGGCCTCTAGGCGGGGCGCGTGCGGGGTCGACGGGGCCGGCGGGGCCTCTAGGCGGGGCGCGCGCGGCGACGACAGGGCTGGGGGGGGCCTCTAGGCGGGGCGCACGCGGGGTCGACGGGGCCGGCGGGGCCACTAGACGGGGCGCGCGCGGGGTCGACGGGGCCAGCGGGGCCACTAGGCGGGTCGCGAGCGGGGTCGACGGGGCCGGCGGGGCCTCTAGGCGGGGCGCGCGGGCAGTCGACGGGGCCAGCGGGGCCTCTAAGCGGGGCGCGCGCACGGTCGACTGGGCCAGCGGGGCCGAGTAAAAAAAAAGAGAAGCGCTCGAGGGCGCGGGGGGGGAGGCGCTAGGGCGCGCTCCGGCAGTAGGGCGTACGAGGGCGCTAGTACACAGTAGTAGTGGTGGGCCCGGAAAAATTAGGTCCTAGTGAAGGACCTGCTCTGAAACCATGTCAGAATAACTGAGCAGGAATGAATGAACTAACACGAAGTTTGGTACAAGTATGAAACCCTAAGTTTGTGTACCCCCTAAGGTGTAACCCACTACAGCCTACACAATATAAACATACAATGTTTGACAGTCTAGACTTCGCTGCCAGTCTTGTTGCTGAGTCTGAGTCTGTCTGTCCTCCGTCCGTCGGGGGTGAGTGTGCTCTTAGCACGGACGTCCTTGAGGACAGGCACGAGGACCTTGAGTGTCTTGCGGCTGCTGCGCCTCATCTCGTGGCCATGCTGCTTGCCCCTGAGGGAGACCCAGATGCACCAGACATCCCGACCCCGCGCTCTTACGCTGAGGCGATCGCGGGTGAGTACTCCTCTCAGTGGCAGACAGCCATGGACGCAGAGATGGCATCCTGGAAGTCCACAGGCACTTACGTCGATGAGGTTCCCCCTCCTGGGGCGAACATCGTCGATGGCATGTGGATTTTCAAGGTGAAGCGGCTGCCAGGTTCTCCGCCTGTCTTCAAGGCTCGTTACGTTGCTAGAGGCTTCAGTCAGCGAGAGGGAGTTGACTTCTTCCGGACCTTCTCCCCCACCCCGAAGATGACCACTCTTCGGGTACTGCTGCACGTTGCCGCTCAGCGTGACTACGAGCTTCACTCTCTTGACTTCAGCACAGCCTTCTTACAGGGCAGCCTGCACGAGGAGATCTGGCTGCGCCGCCCACCCGGCTTCACTGGGTCGTTCCCTCCTGGTACCCAGTGGAGCCTCCGGCGGCCAGTCTACGGTCTCCGCCAGGCGCCTCGTGAGTGGCACGACACACTGAGGACTACACTTGCGGCTCTTGGGTTCGCTCCTTCCACTGCTGACCCGTCGCTGTTTCTGCGCACCGACACGTCCCTGCCGCCGTTCTACATCCTCGTGTACGTCGACGACCTGGTCTTTGCCACTGCTGACACTGAGGCTCTCGCTCAGGTGAAGTCGGAGCTGCAGAAGAGACACACGTGCACAGACCTGGGTGAGCTGCGCAGCTACCTTGGCTTGCAGATCACCCGGGACAGAGCACGCCGCACCATCACCCTGACTCAGTCACACATGGTGCAGCAGGTCCTTCAGCGCTTCGGCTTCTCCTGGTCCTCCCCACAGCACACTCCTCTGGCTACAGGTCACTCGCTCTCAGCTCCACCTTCGGACGAGTCCGTAGAGCCGAGTGGTCCTTACCCAGAGTTAGTTGGCTGCCTCATGTACCTGATGACTTGCACTCGTCCTGACCTCGCGTACCCTCTTGGTCTCCTGGCTCGCTACGTGGCTCCTGGTCGGCACCGACCTGAGCACATGGCTGCTGCTAAGAGGGTACTGTGCTACTTGTGCAGTACATCAGGCATGGGGCTAGTGCTTGGTGGGAGGAGCCCAGTTGTTCTCACTGGGCACTCAGACGCTTCTTGGATTGACGACCAGGCTACTTAGCGGTCGTCACAGAGTTACACATTCAGCCTTGGCTCTGGTTCAGTTTCTTGGCGTTCTACTCGCTCGTCTTCAGTTCTCAGCTCTAGTTGTGAGGCTGAGATCTACGCCACAGCCATGGGAGTTGCGCTGGCTCACCTACCTGCTGACTGACTTGGGAGAGCGGCCTCGTTCTCCTCCAGTGCTGTACGTAGACAACAAGGCTGTCATTGCCTTGTGTGAGGAGCACAGACTGGAGCACAGAACGAAGCATATCGCTCTGCGTTACTTCCTGGCTCGAGGCCAGCTTTGTCTTCGCCACGTGGCCACTCGGGCCAACACGCAGCTTGTCGGCGTAGCCCTGCTGGTGCAGCCACAGCTTCCCCGCCGACCTGTCGCGGACGATCTCCAGCCCGAGGTACTTCTGCACCGGCGAGATCTCGCGTAGCTCAAAGGCGGCCTCCAGCAGCTCCTTTAGCTCCTTCAGCATCGCGGGGCTGCTGCTGGCGGCGAGCAAGTCGTCGACGTAGACCAGCACCCAGCAAGTCGCTCCGTCGCCGACCTTGAAGTAGAGAGCCTCGTCGACCTGGCTCTTCTTCCACCCAGCGCCGACCAGCACGTCGTTGAGCGCCAAGTACCATAGCAGCGGCGACTGCTTCAGCCCGTACAGGCTCTTCAGCAGCTTGCACACCCGGCCGGTTCCGTCGTTGAAGTAGTCCGGCTGCGACATGTACAGCACCCGGTCGAGCTTGCTCTGCAGGAAGGCGTTCTTCATGTCGAGCTGCATCAGGTTGAGATTGAGCACGGCGACGATGCTGAGGAAGATCCGCAGCGTCACGTAGCTGCCCACCGGCGCGAACGTCTCGTCGTAGTCGGCGCCGTACACCTGCGTGAAGCCCTTCATGACCAGCCTCGCCTTCTCGCGCTCGACGGTGTCGTCGATGTGGTACTTCGTCGTCAGCACCCACCGGTTCTTCATCACGTTCACTCCCGGCGGGCGTTCGACCAGCTCCCACGTCCCCATGGCGATGAGACTGCGGATCTCCTCCTCCATGGCGGCCTTCACCGCCGGACCCTTCCAGCTTGCCAACGCCTCCTTCACCGTCATCGTGGAGATGTCCCAGCGGTGCTCGGGGTCGGCCAGCATGTCGGGGTCGAGCTCCGGAAACTCCTCATCTTCGTCGGCGTCGTCGTACAGCAGGTCGTCGTCCTCGTCGACCACGTCGTACACAGTGGTGAAGGCAGCGGGGACGAAGAAGTCGGGCGGCCTCCGAAGTCGACCAGACTTCCGGGGTTCAGGCGGAACTCCTGCCACGTCACGGTCGGGGTGTAGGGGCAGGTCAGGTCGTGGACGATCCCCTTTCCGTCCACGAAGGCGGTGAAATCCCGGCCGAGAAACTCCCCTCCTCGGTCAGAGCGCAGCTGCAACACCGACTTCTTCGTCTGCCGCTCCACCAGCACCAGCCACTTCTGGAACTCCAGCAGCACGTCCGACTTCTTGGCGACCGGCCTCACCCACACGTAGCGGGACTTACGGTCCTTCAGCAGCAAGAAGTACAGGCTACCGTCCTTGGCAGCCACGCGGAACGGCCCGCACAGGTCGATGTGCACGACGGCCAGCACGTCGTCGGCGTCGGAGCCTTGGTCAGGGAAGGTGTGCCGCGCCAGCTTCCCGCTGACGCACGAGACACACGGTGAGTCGGCGCCCGTCGCCGACTTGAGGTCCAGCCCAATGGCGACCTCGTTCTTCGCCGAGCTCCGGATGGTGTCCATGCCGACGTGCGCAAGCCGAGCGTGCATCCTGTCCGGCGTCGACTTCGCCTTGGAAACGATCGCCCGCAGGGCCACAACCTCCGGCGTGGTCGACGTCGGCCTCGTAGAGCAGGGGCGCAGGTCGGTGCAGAGGATACGCCCGGAGTACGTCGCCCGACCGAGCACCTCTCCCGTCGCCGAGACGAGCAGCATCCCGTCGCCATCCTCCTTCAGCTTCACGCCATGCTCCTTCAGCTGGCCGGACGACAGCAGGTTCGCATGCACGCCCGGGACGTACAACACGTCGGGGATGAGCACCTGCTTCCCGGCCTCGCCTTGCAGGGCGACAGTGCCGCGGCCCTGGACGTCCTGCAGCGCCCCATTGAAGCCACGCACGTGCTTCACGTCGCCGCTCGGCCCCAAGTCGACGAAGGCGTCCTTCGTCCCCATCAGGTGGTGAGAGCAGCCACTGTCGAGCAGGACCACCGCCGGGTTCGCCTGCACAGCCGCCGCCACCGCCTGGAAGTCCTCGCCAGCCTCCGGCGCCAGCGAGATGGTCGGCTCCACGACGCCGACCAGCGAGCACGACGCCGTCTTGTCGTCCCGCGCCTTGCCGCCAGCAGAGGAGTCGGCGTCCTTCGCCGTGGTCGACGTGGTCGACTGCTTCTCCTTGCGCGGCTTCTCCTTTCCTCCACGACGTGGACGACGACTGCCAGATCTCCCACGGCCTCCCTTGTCGTCGTCGTCGTCGGAGTCACTGCGGTCGGGGCACTCAAAGGAGAGATGGTCGGGGCTGTGACAGATCCAGCACTCCCGACGTCGACCTCCTCCTCCTCGACCACTGTCCTTGGTCGACTTCTTCTTGTCGACCTCCTTGGCCGACTTCGAGCCACTGCTACCACCGCCGCCAGACTGTCCACGCTGCCCTGGTCGACCGCCTTGCTTCGCCGGGGCGACGTAGTTCACCTGCGCCAGAAGCTCTTGGGACCGCTCAGCCTCCTGCATCGCCTCGTCCTGCAGGATGTACGAGGTCAACGTGTCCTCGTTGAGCTGTAGAATTCCACTACTATAGCAGCTTGATAGTGCTCGAAAGCACGATTCCAACGCACCAAAGATTGCAGGAAACGGTCCACTATAGCCAGAGATACACACAAACATAGCAGTGATAATGACTTAGATGATTTCTGGTTTGTGCTCTCTGGTTTTATACTAGGACGCAATACAAAAACAAAGCACACAAGAAAGTGTCGACCCGGGTCGCGCGCTGAATTTCGTCGACGCGAAATTCCGAGCCTTGAATTTCGCCGAGCGAATTCCATTGACTGGAATTCCGTAGACGAGAATTTCCGCGACCAGAATTCCGTCGACCACCGACTGTAACTCCCGTGCGAATTCCGTTGACTTCGACACTTCGCTGCCGAGTTTCAAACCGAACGCGACCCGAGATCGATTTCGCCAAAGTGTCCCCAATCTGTCCCCAAACTGTCCCCAATCTGTCCCCAATCTGTCCTGCCAAGACACTTTCGGGACACTTGAATCGAAAGGTCTCCAGTTCGAAACTCAAGTGCAGCATAACCAGCCCCTTAGCAGAAACTGTCCTGAATCTGTCCTGAGACACTTTCAGGACAAAAATAAAGGTCACAAGCTCGAATCCCAGCGCCGACAATTTGTTGCTCATGGCAGCATTTCCTTCTAACACGCCCCCTTGCTGTCAGGAGCACGCTGGACCAGCCCGGCTGCTGCACAGCATCGGTTGAAGGCTGCCTTATCGAGCCGTTTCGTGAAGAAGTCCGCGGGCTGCGCCGTCGTAGGGATGTGCTGCAGCTCTAGCTTCTTCATGCGCACCATGTCTTGCAGCCACATGTGGCGACGGTCCACATGCTTCATGCGCCCCTGCAGCCCGCCCGCCTGGCTGAGCTGCACCGCTGACATGTTGTCAACGTACAGGGTGGTGGGAACACCCTTTTTGAGTAGCTGAAACTCCCACATCAGGAACCTCAGCTTGCGCCCCTCCTTCCCTGCTTCCACCGCAGCCACAAGCTCGCTCTCGGTGGAGGAGAGCTTGGTCGCACCCTGCAGCTTCTTGGCCTGCCAAGAAACGGCAGCTCCGCCAAGCTTGAAGAGGTAGCCTCCCGTGGACGAACGGTTCTCCTTGTCGCCCGCATCATCCGCATCCGCATACCCCACCAAAGTCAAGCTCTCTGGTCCTCCCGTGAACAGCAGCCCCGTGTCTGGTGAGGCAGCCCAGTAGGAGAGTGTGCGGAAGAGCTCATGCCAATGCGCATCCGTCCTGAGGTGTGCACCTGCTACAAGACGGCTGCACGCAAAAGAGAGGTCAGGACGGGTTGAGATGGCTGCAAACTGCACCATGCCGAGAATTGACAGGTACTCGGTCATGGTTCGGTCGGCAAACTGCCCAGCATCCTGCTTGGCAAAGCTGGCGGAGGAGAGAGGGGTGATGGGCTGCTTCTTCGGTGGCGCCCCCTTGAAGAACCGCTGCTGCACCTTTGCCACGTACGCATTCTGGTGCAGGAGGAGTGTCCTGTTGGGGCGGTCGCGCACAATCTGCAGCCCCAGGTAGCGCTCCACTGGCTCCACCTCACGGAGCTGAAACGCCTTGGCCAACAGCTCCTTCAGGTCCTGCAGCAGCTGCTTGTCTTCACTTGCCGCCAGCAAGTCATCCACGTAGATTAGCAGCCACACGCGCTTCACGCTCGACCCATCCTTGTAGTATAGGGCCTGGTCCACAAGGCTCTTCCTGTATCCCTCCACAAGGAGCACCTTGTCCAGCTCCTTGTACCACAGAAGGGGACTCTGCTTGAGTCCGTAAAGGCTTTTGTGGAGTAGGCACACCTTGCTGCTGCCGTCGGTGAAGTAGGGTGGCTGCTGCATGTAGATCTCGTGGTCGATGGTGCCGTGAAGAAATGCATTCTTCACATCAAGCTGCAGCAAATCCAGGTCCATAGCTGCTGCGATTGAGAGGAGCACGCGAACGGTGGTGTAGCTGCCAACAGGAGCATAGGTGTCGTCGTAGTCGATGCCGAAGCGCTGGCTAAAGCCCTTTGCCGCGAGCCTGGCCTTATACTTCTCCACGGTGCCATCAGGTCGCAGCTTCTTCTTTAGTAGCCATTTGACGCCGACTGTTTTGCGACCTTTGGGTAGGTCGGCCAATGACCAAGTGCCTTGCTCATCAAGGCTCTCCATCTCCTCCTTCATAGCAGCCCACCATTCCTTGCCTTCAGGTCCGGTCAACGCAGCTGCCAGGTCGAGGATGACACCTCCCCAAGCGCCTTCCTCCTCCTCATCCTCGTCCGGGTACTCCACTTCGTCATCGCTGTCCGTGTCGCAGTCGTCCTCAGCAAGGTACGCCATGTCATACGGGTTCTCCTCCTCGTCCGCATCATGGGCCGTCAGGGCTGATGGCTGAAACCGTACGGGTGGCACCCCCTTGTTAGGCCTGCTGGAGCGACGTGGGGGTTGTGAAATGGGCTGGATGGGAGGAGCTGCAAGTGAAGGCTCATGCGCATGAGCCGCTGGCGGCTGCTCATCCACTGCAACTTCTCCTTCCTCCTCAAGATCAGTCGTATCGCCTCCATCCTCAAGGGGACCAGCTTCTGGTCCCACGGGCGCCGAATCAGCAACGGATGGTGGACCGACAGACGGAGGTGCAGTAGGTGCCTTGCTGCCCAAAGGGCCCACCGAGCGATCAAGGGGTTGCTCTCCCCCATGCACGGACGGCACCGGGACCACGATGACAGTACGTGGTGGCGGTAGATTCTGCTCGGGGTCGTGGGGCTCAGGAAAGAGAGATGGGACAGAAGCAAAGGGTGGTGTGGGCTGGTCATTCCCATTGCCCGCATGTGCACGCCACTTCTGCCACCTTGCAAGTGACATATCCTCATAAAAACGTGCATCCCGGGTGATGACCATGCGCTGTGACTCAACATCCACCACACGCCATCCCTTGCTTTCCATGCTCATGCCCAAATGCATGCCCCAACGAGTCTTGCTTGCAAGCTTCCCCTTACGCTCGTGCTCAGGGATGAGGTACTGAACCATGCACCCGAACACACGGACCATGGAGACATCGGGCTTGACTTTGAACACCACCAAATGAGGGGTCACACCATGGGGCAGGGTGGACTGGTGCACGCGGTTTACCACCCACAAGAACTGCTGGAAAGCGAAGTGCCACCAGTGTGTTTTCACCCCCATGTGCCCCAACATCACACGCATGCCCTCGGTTACCGTACGGTTGCGGCGTTCAGCCACACCGTTCTGCTGGGGGGTCGAGGGGCAGGAAAGTTGACGCAAGATCCCTCGTTGCTTCAGCAGCAGCAGGAACTCGTTCGACATAAATTCTCCTCCACGGTCCGACCGCAACACCTTCAGCGTCATCCCGGTCTGGCGCTCAGCTTCGGGAAGCCACTCCTTAAAGGCAGCAAGCGCATCACTTTTCAGCTTCAACGTCGTCCCCCAGGTGTACCGCGAGGCATGATCCACGAAAAGAATGTAGTACCTGCTGCCATCCATGGCTGGGGTCTGGAATGGACCGCACACGTCAGTATGGACCAGCCCAAGAACCTGCTCCTCTCGCTCGTCGTGCAGCGGAAACGATTCACGAGTGAGTTTGGCTTCATGGCAGGAGGTGCACGGCATATCCTCACCTCCTTTCTCCAGGTCCATACCGAACACGCCACCGCTCGTGGCTGTCCGCTTCACCGCATACGTCTTGAGGCTGGCCACTTCATCCTTAGTTTCCGGCTTGCTTGTCGCCACAGCAGCAGTCTCCTTCGCCGTGCCGTTGCATGCCGATGCAGCCCCTGTGCCGTTGCTCGCAGCTCCAGCCGCCATATCGTTGCATGCCGCTGCAGCCGTCGTGCCGTTGCATGCTGCAGCCGTTGCACCGTTCCTTGCTGGCCCCGGTTTCAGGTCAAGGCAGTGAAGGCGATGGCGGTATCGTGCCGTTGCAGCCACTTGACCTCCTGATGCGATGATGCGAGTGACTCCTTCCTTGGTTTGCAGCTTTGCTCCGTTGTCCAAGAGCTGCCCAGGGGAGACCAAGTTGGCCTTCATTCCTGGCACAAAGAGGACATCATGCAGAGTCACGAGCAAGCCGTTAGTGCCCTCCAGCAAAACCTCACCAACACCGGCGACTTCTTGCATTGAATCATCAAACCCTTTGACGGTTTTCGTTGCAGATGGATCACGGATCACCGTGAACCACTCCTTGCGGCCGGACATGTGTTGGGAGCATCCCGAGTTAAGGAACCACAGGTCCTTGTCATTGACCAGTAGCTTTGCAGCTGAGCACGCGACGGTGAGCGCCACGCCCTTCCCGTCTCCTTCAGCAACGTTCGCAGCTGCTGCGGGCGTTGCATCCTTCTTCTTGTTGGGGCACTTGGCAGCCATGTGCCCCTCCTCATTGCAGTTGTAGCAGCGCCCCTTGAAGGGGCCTCGCTTCTTCTCCCGCTTGCCATCCTTCTTCTTGTCCGTCTGCTCCTTCCCTCCTTTTCCCTCCTTCCCGTTGACCCCCGTTGTAGCCACGATCGTGTTGACAGCGCCCGAGAAAGCAGATGCATCACTGGTGATCTGCTTGTAGCTCTGTTCGATGGAGAGAGTCTGCTCCTCCATCAACACCTCGCTGCACACACGTTCCACCGTCATGTCGGGCCTAGAAATGTCGAGCTTGCGGCGAAGAAACCCGTACTCTGGTGGCAGGCCCTTCAGGACGTGAGCGGCAAACGTGGCCATGTGGACCTCCTGTCCAATGGTCAGCAGCTCCGCTAGGATTCCGCCGTCTCATCATCTCCCTTCCTGAGTTGGGCTAGCTGGGTCTGAAGTAGGGAAGCGTGGAGGGCATCACGAGCTTGATAGGTAGACAAGATGTATGCCCATGCCATCTGCCCGGCTTTCTCTTGCTGAGAGAAACCAGCAATAGACCTCAAGTTAGGGTGGTGCTCACGAACGGACGCCTCCAACTCCTGACGGGCATTCACGCCCTCGGCGCTCGTTAACCACTCCATCCGCGGTCAAAACGAGCGTCGGCCACACCAACGTAGGAACGAAGTGACGGGAGGACGGAATCAAGCCGCTAGTTGGATCGACGAAGGTAACGCAGCTCTGATACCATGTAGAATTCCACTACTATAGCAGCTTGATAGTGCTCGAAAGCACGATTCCAACGCACCAAAGATTGCAGGAAACGGTCCACTATAGCCAGAGATACACACAAACATAGCAGTGATAATGACTTAGATGATTTCTGGTTTGTGCTCTCTGGTTTTATACTAGGACGCAATACAAAAACAAAGCACACAAGAAAGTGTCGACCCGGGTCGCGCGCTGAATTTCGTCGACGCGAAATTCCGAGCCTTGAATTTCGCCGAGCGAATTCCATTGACTGGAATTCCGTAGACGAGAATTTCCGCGACCAGAATTCCGTCGACCACCGACTGTAACTCCCGTGCGAATTCCGTTGACTTCGACACTTCGCTGCCGAGTTTCAAACCGAACGCGACCCGAGATCGATTTCGCCAAAGTGTCCCCAATCTGTCCCCAAACTGTCCCCAATCTGTCCCCAATCTGTCCTGCCAAGACACTTTCAAGACACTTGAATCGAAAGGTCTCCAGTTCGAAACTCAAGTGCAGCATAACCAGCCCCTTAGCAGAAACTGTCCTGAATCTGTCCTGAGACACTTTCAGGACAGATTTGAAGGTCACAAGCTCGAATCCCAGCGCCGACAATTTGTTGCTTATGGCAGCATTTCCTTCTAACATGAGCGTCGCCCACGTGCTCGGCGCCATGGATAGCCGCTTCAGCAAGTTGTAGTTGCTCGGGAACCCCTGCATGACATGGGTGATGTACGACGCCGTCGAATACTCCGCACCGGCCATCCTGATGGTGGCGAGAATTCGCCGGGCCCGGTTGCAGTAGTCGGTCGCTGTCTCCTCGTCGCCCATACGCAGGTTCGTCAGCTGTCCCTCCAGCTGGGCGATGAACAGGTCGTCGGTGACTTGGTAGGTCGACTCAATGAAGTGCCACGCCTGGTGGCCGGCGTCGAGGTACTCCCTGCACCACTTCAGGGCGATCTGCACGCCCGGCGTGCAGCACCGCGAGATGACCGTGAAGGTCAACAGCTGCACGGCGCGGTGTCAAACATTGTATGTTTATATTGTGTAGGCTATAGTGGGTTTAGCCTTAGAGGGTACACAAACTTAGGGTTTCATACTTGTACCCACCTTCCTGCTAGTTCACCCCATTCTCGTTCTATTCTAGATTCTAACATGGTATCAGAGGCCTAGGTTGCTACCTAGGACCGCCTTCTACAATGGGCCCACTATTCCGCTAGAAGCGCCCTCGTGCGCCCTACCTTACGTGCGCCCTCGTGCGCCCTACCTTACGTGCGCCCTCGTGCGCCCTCGTGCGCCCTCGTGCGCCTTTCTCTGCTAGTGCGCCTTCGTGCGCCCTCGTGTGACCGCGCGCCGCCCCTACAGGCTCTCCTCGCCCGCCGCGTCGCCCTGCCCGTGGCGTCACCGCCTCCCCGCGGCGTCACCGCCTCCCCGCGGCGTCGTCGCCTGCCCGCGGCGTAGCCCCTGCCCGCGGCGTCGTCGCCTGCCCGCGGCGTCGTCGCCTGCCCGCGGCGTCGTCGCCTGCCCGCGACGTCGTCGCCTGCCCACGGCGTCGTCGCCTGCCCGCGGCGTCGTCCCCTGCCCGCGGCGTCGTCGCCTGCCCGCGGCGTCGTCGCCTGCCCGCGGCGTCGTCGCCTGCCCGCGACGTCGTCGCCTGCCCGCGGCGTCGTCGCCTGCCCGCGACGTCGTCGCCTGCCCGCGGCGTCGTCGCCTACCCGCGGCGTCGTCGCCTACCCGCGGCGTCGCCACCTGCTAGCGGCGTCGCCCTGCCCGCGGCGTCGCCACCTGCCCGCCGCGTCGCCCTGCCCGCGGCGTCGCCACCTGCCCGCCGCGTCGCCCTGCCCGCGGCGTCGCCACCTGCCCGCCGCGTCGCCCTTCTCGCCGCGTCGCCCTGACCTAATCCGCCTCTCGCCCCTGGAGCAGCCGCCACTGCAGCAGCAGCCCCTGGAGCCGCCCGCCACTGCAGCAGCAGCCCCTGGAGCCGCCCGCCACTGCAGCAGCCGCCCCTGGAGCCGCCCGCACCTGCAGCAGCTGCCCCTGGAGCAGCCCGCACCTGCAGCCCCTGGCCCCTGGAACAACCGCCACTGCAGCAGCCGTCCCTGGCACCTGGAGCAGCTGCCGTCGTGGCCCGGCCTCTCTCTGCAGCAGCTGCCGCGGGGCTCCCTACTGCGGCCCGGCCCTGCCCTGCAGTTGTAGCGACCCCGCTGTCCCCACCGTCTTGCACCTGCCGCGCCGACCACTGGTGAGCATTGCCCTGCCAGCACTGCTACCGCTGCTACTGCTGCTACTGCCTTTTCTACTCCCACTGCCACTGCTCCTGCTGTTACTGCTGTTACTGCCGCTACTGCTGCTGCTCCTGACGTGGCCAGATGCAGCTCCAGGGCCGTGCGCGTGAGTCCCTCACGCTCCAGCAGGCTCGTGAGTGGTACGCTAGTTTGGGCTGTCGGGGTGGCCGTAGTGGTAGTCGCTCTGGAGTGGATCGGTCGGGAGCTTCTGGTAGTGGGCAGGTGCAGCAGCCGTGTCCTCTTTTGCTCCAGCAGGCTCGTGAGTGGTACGCTAGTTTGGGCTGTCGGGGTAGCCGTGGTGGTAGTCGCTCTGGAGTGGGTCGGTCGGGAGCTTCTGGTAGTGGGCAGGTGCAGCAGCCGTGTCCTCTTTTGCTCCAGCAGGCTCGTGAGTGGTACGCTAGTTTGGGCTGTCGGGGTAGCCGTGGTGGTAGTCGCTCTGGAGTGCGTCGTTCGGGAGCTTCTGGTCGTGGACAGGTGCAGCTGCCGTGTCCTGTGAGTGAGGCTGCCGCTCTAGGTGCTAGTACGTCTGTTGCCCTAGGTGCTAGTGCGACTGCCACTGTAGGTACTCGCGTGTCTACCACCTCAGGTGATGGTGAGGCTGCCGCTCTAGGTGATGTGAGTCTGTTGCCCTAGGTGCTAATGCGACTGCCACTGCAGGTACTCGCGTGTCTGCCACCTCAGGTGATGGTGAGGCTGCCGCTCTAGGTGCTAGTGAGTCTGCCCCCCCTGGTACTGAGTCGACTGCGGCACTGCACACCTTCACCTTGGACTCAGGTGCTTCTCGCTGTTTCTTTCGTGACTGCACTGTCCTTGAGCCGCTTGCTCGGCCAGTTGCTGTCTCCCTCGCTGACCCCTCTGGGGGTCCGGTCATTGCGACCTCCTCCACTGTCCTTCCTTGTCCTGCGGTCCCGTCGGGCACACTGTCAGGTCTCTACCTCCCCTCGTTCTCTACGAACCTGGTGGCGGGTCGTGCGCTCCAGGACGGGGGTGTTCACCAGTTCACCCCTGCCTACGAGCGCGTGACACACTGCACGTGTGCTCGGACGGGCCGTCACCTGGCTACCTTCACTCGGCAGCCGGGGTCGGACCTGTACACACTGACCACTGAGTCCCCTCAGGTAGCTGCGTCCGCGTCCGCGTCTGCGTCAGGCCAGCTGTCGGCCCCCTGCTCGTGTCGCTCTCTGGCGCACGACACCGTCCTCTGGCACCACCGACTTGGCCACCCGTCTGTGCAGCGCCTTCGTGCCATGCACTAACGGCAGCTTGTCTCTGGTCTTCCCAGGGTGCTCCCTCCCCTCCCACCCTCGCCTGCTCCTCCCTGTCTTCCCTGTGTCGAGGGGCGGCAGCGCGCCGCTCCTCACTCCTCCTCCTTTCCCCCGACGACTGCTCCCTTGCAAACGCTCCACATGGACGTGTGGGGCCCAGCCCGCGTCCGTGGTCAGGGTCAGGAGAGGTACTTCCTGATTGTTGTTGACGACTACTCGCGCTACACCACGGTCTTCCCCTTGCGCACCAAGGGTGAGGTCCCTGGTGTTTTGATCCCCTGGATCAGCAGAGCTCGTCTCCAGCTAGGCAAGCGTTTTCGCTCGGACTTTCCTGTCCTGCGCTTGCACTCTGACAGAGGTGGTGAGTTCTCCTCCGACCTCTTGGCAGCCTACTGTGCCGAGCACGGCATTGAGCAGTCGTTCACGCTTTCGGCCTCTCCACAGCAGAATGGGGTTGCTGAGCGCCGCATTGGCTTGGTCATGGAGATCGCTCGTACCTCCCTGATCCATGCGGCTGCTCCCCACTTTCTGTGGCCGTTTGCGGTCCGATACGCTGCGCACCAGCTCAACCTCTGGCCCCGTGTCTCCTTGCCGGAGACTTCTCCGACACTGCGTTGGACGGGAGAGGTTGGCGATGCGTCGCGTTTTCGGGTCTGGGGATCCCGAGCTTTTGTTCGCGACACGTCCGCGGACAAGCTCTCCCGTCGCGCTGTCCCCTGTGTCTTTCTTGGCTTTGTCCCGGACGCGCCTGGTTGGCAGTTTTACCACGTCACCTCGCGCCGGGTTCTGCCCTCTCAGGACGTCACTTTTGACGAGTCCGTTCCCTTCTACCGCCTCTTCCCCTACCGCACTGCCCCGCTCCCCCCTCCGCCTCCCTTACTCGCGCCAGGTGCTGCTGTGGTAGACCCCCTCCCCCCTCAGGGTGCCGCTCCCTCAGGTGTGTCTCAGGTAGACCCGGTTGAGCCTGTCGAGGTAGCTGTCGAGTCTCGTCCTGCTAGGGGTGCTGAGCCTGCGCGTGAGGAGCCTGGCGGTGCTGAGCCTGGGGGTGCGGAGCCTGGAGGTGCGGAGCCTG